GGGGTGCAGCCCTTTGTTTTGGGGTGCTCACTGAATGTTACCTCAATCTGCTCAGCCCCATCTCCTCTGTGTTCAGTTCTTAGGGAATTGTATGGAGCACGGATATTTGCATGTGTATACCTAGCAAAAACTAACAGCAAGGTCAGGACTAAGACTTTTGTCCTTGGGGGTGTGTGGCAGCCATCCTCACATCTTCAGTGTCATGCTTTTGATAAGCTACAAAAATATAAAATTCGGCGGGTTGGTGATTTATGATCGTGGTTTGTATTTTTGTTTGGATTTTTGGGGGGAAGGGTTAGTTCTGGGGTTAATTCTATGTTTGTTTGGGAGTGGTTAGATGGTTGGTTATTTTTGATACTAGGAAATACAAAGGAAGGTTCATTGAAAGTGTATCGATGACAAATGGTTTGGCTAATGTAGGGATATGTGGTTTAATTATTTGATAAAAAAAATTAAAATGTCAAGATGAAAAAAATGAATGCGTAAAATGGAATTTAAATATTAATTCCTAGTAAATGCACTGATTTAAATATTAGTTCCTGGTAAATTTAAATATTAGTTCCTGGTAAATTCTCCCTCTGTATAACATTTCTCAGCTCTGTTATTTGGAGAGGTCAGAGCACTGCCACCATGGGGCAGTGGGACTTTGGAGCTGCTGGCTTTGGTCACATCCTGGGGAGGGGACAGCACCTGCAGGGGCTGTGGTGGCTGCGTGTCTCTGTCTGTGCTTGAGATGTAACTGCAAGGGAAGTGCAGTTTTTAGGGGTTTTTTTGTGCTTTTTTGTGTTCTTTTAATGGTTTTCTGTGCTTTCTCATGGCAGGGAGTGATAGTGGAGCCCAGGGGCCCTCGGGATTTTGGCTGGGATCCCTGCTTTCAGCCAAATGGCTACAACCAGACGTAAGTGGTGTTTTACCTTGGTGTAAGGCAAACCTTGGTCAGGGGTGTCCAGAGGAACTTGTTTGTGAGGAAGTGCATCAGGGGGACGTGTTCTCCTGGATTAGAACACAGGGGTGATGGGAAACCTCTGGAGCAGGGAGGCAGAGGGGGAGCTCTCGGTGCTCCAGGGATGTGCTGTAGTGTCGCTGTTACTGACACTTGTTTCTGTCCCTGCAGCTACGCCGAAATGCCCAAGGCGGTGAAGAACTCCATCTCNCCCGGCCCCGCCGTGTGCTCAGCCCCGCTCCGTCCCCGTGTCCGCAGTGCCCGAGTACCAGGGGGAGCCGGACGAGATCTCGGTGCAGAAGTGCCGCGAAGCCGCCCGCCAGGTCACTCCTCCTTCTCCTTTCCCGGCGGGATGGGCATGGAGGGACCCCGGGCAGGGACACTGAAGGATCCGCTCCCATCACCCGCCTGGGCTGGTTTATGGGAGGTCACAGAAGCTCCTTCAGGCCCGGTGGCTGCAGGACAAAGAGTTTGATGTCTGCTGGCTCTGGGCTGGCTGTCCTGCAGGCTTGCCTCTGGAACACAGGCTTTTCCATTCCTTGTCCTCCAGGATGGCAGGGATGTTCAGCTCTGCTTGTTTTTCTGCATGTGAAACCTTCCCTGTGAAACCTTCCCCGTGTGAAACCTTCCCTGCTGTGTTTCAGCCTCTCTGGCCTGCCTGGGGGCAGTTTGGGTTTCACCGTGTCTGTCTGATGTGTGTTGCCTTTGATGTCAAGTGGAAACATGAGGATGGGGCAGAGCAAGGGAAGGGGTTTGGAGATAATGCCTTCCTTCAGGTCTGATGTTTTCCTTCTCTTGGGCTGTCACTGTAGGTTCAGGGACCTGTTATAGTAGAGGACACCTGCTTGTGCTTCAATGCCCTGGGGGGCCTCCCAGGACCCTACATGTAAGTGGCTGTTCCCCTTCCATGTGCCAAGGTTAGGGGCACAGGGTGGGCTCCACACTGCAGGAGCACTGGGGTCAGGGAGGTGATGGCTGTGCTCTGCCCCTCCTCCTGCACCCCAGGGGCTGCACTGAGCTCCCTGAGCCCTGGGGTAAATCACAGAGCAGGGATGGACAGACAGAGCTGGGCTCTTGGCTCTGCTTTTAATCTGTGCTGCCTGCTGTGGCAGCTTGGGAAGCTGTGCAAAGAGCAGTAAAGGCACCAAAACCTTTCAGCAGGACTGCCATGAGTGCCCCATAGGTTCTCCTAGGGACAGCTTTAATCCAGAAGATAACAAAGTTATTCTGTATTTGTATACATAATAACTAGGATACAGTAATTACCCCACTGCTGTTTCACTGTGTCCCCTTCAGCTTAAGAGGTAAGTGTGTCCTTCCTGGTAAATGGTGCAGAATGAGTGATTTTACAGCACACTGAGGAATTCAAAGGCCTATGAGAATGTAAGCAACACAAAGATGTCTGTGTGTCTGAGAGATAATTGCAAAAATTGATCTTCCCTCTTTCCTTCCTTTTCAGAAAATGGTTCCTGGAGAAGCTCAAGCCAGAAGGTACTGCCCTCGTGTCACTGCTCTGTGTGTCACCCACTCCTGTGCCCCTGCAGTGGCTCCCTGCCCATGCTGGGGATGCCAGCAGGTTCTGTGCCCTCCTTCCTGGGATGTTTTTCTCAGCACATTCCCAGACTCCTGCCTCTGCAGGCTGGTGGCAGGGCTCCTGGGAGCATCTTGTTTGTCCTCAGCGTGACCTGCAGGATCTCCTGCTCCCTGGGGTTCCACTAACACTGCCCTCCCCTGCTGTGCCTTGACCCCACAGCTCAGAGTGTGGCTGCAAATCCTCTGCTGGTCTCATTAACACGAGCACTGATCACTTTCAAGCACCAGGGGCTTTAGTTGTGCTGGGTTGGTTCCTCTGCCAGATCCATGGCAGGGCTCTGGAGCTGAGCTCTGAGCTCTGGCCTCAGCCACAGCAGGCAGGGATCCTGCCAAGAGCACCAGGGGGCTTGGGAGTGCCACGTGGAGCCCTGGGTGGCTGTGCTGTGCTCCCAGGGAGCAGCAGGCACTGCAGGCTCCCTTGTGTGTACCCCCAGGGCTGTACAAGCTGCTGGCTGGCTTTGAGGACAAGTCTGCCTACGCGCTCTGCACCTTCGCCTTCAGCAGCGGCAACCCCGAGGAGCCCGTGAGGCTCTTCAAGGGCCAGACCCACGTAGGTGCTGCGTGCTGGGGGAGGTTCTGCTGCCACTGGCACTGTGGGGACACTGGGGGGG